TCCTGCTGAGGCCACTGCTTGCCATGATTCTCTCTCAATAACTCCACCTCTTTGTTTCCTGGGTCCCACAGCCTTGCACAGATCCTCTGAGCATCCTTTAAATGTTCAGAGGATCAGATTGTCCATAATGCCGTGAGGCTGCTGTGTAACGTAACGGGACCTTGTTGGAGCTTTGTATGGGGAAGGAGAAAGAAGGCCGACAGTTTGGATGTAACGTTAAAAACAAACCCCTGCAAGGATGCCCTGAAACAGTTTGAGATCGTTATCAATTTGGAGAAAGGGGTAATTGCAGGTGGAACAAACTTGTATGAAATAATCAGGTAAAGGGGCCACTCTCTGGAGCTAGAACAGCTTCAGAGACCAAAAACATTGCTAAGATTGGTGGTTTTCATACCTGACGGTGTGTCACAATCTCTTAGAGGGTTTGTTAATACACAGATAGCTGGACCCCGCTCCTAGAGTTTCTAATCATTAGATCTGATTCTACATTTCTACCAAGTACTCAGTTGATGTTAATGCTGCTGGTCTGGGACCCTCACTTTGAGAACCACTAGAATAAACTGATAGCCATTGAAAAAGTTGCAGCTACTGTCATATGCTCAGAAAGCGTGGCAGGCAAGGTCTTGCTTCATCAGGACCCTTTTTGTCCACAGGACTGATTACCCCAGCATTGTGGATCTACAGAAGGAAGGGCTGAGTCCTAAAGGGAATGTCACCCACTTGGGAATCAGGAGCTCGAAACTCTGGAGGTCAGGGTAATTGGAGATCATTTACTGTTTATTCAGTCAATGCTTCCTGAGCTTCCGCTTTGTGAAAGGTATTGGGGTTAGGTAGGGAGTTCAAAGAGGAAGGTGATTAGAGTTCCCACCCTCCTCAGGACACCTACTGTCCTACAGGGGAAATCAGGATCACTGCAGTATAGGCAGCAAGTGGGATGCCAGAGTGGAACTGGCAAAGCCATGCAGAGGAAGGAGAGCTCTGGGTGGTCTTGGCTGACCAGAGAAGGCTTCAAGAAGGAAGTCATTGACATTTGAGTCAAAGCAGAGCGCTTGAAAAACTTGGTTTGTGCACAGAAGTGTAAGGAGTTAGCCAGGAGGTACAGACTGGAGAGGAAAGCAGTGTACCACTAGTGGAACCACTAAGACATTCTGGAGAGTCAGGCAAGAGGGAAAGACCTGGACAAGAATGAACCAGAAGGTCCCAAACCAAAGGTGTTTCCATCTAAGACAGTCCTAAATTGAAGCCACAGCACACCTGTTCTGGACCTTAGAATTTGCCCGTCTATGTTCAAAGAGTTTCTGGAGAGAGAGGAAGGAGAGGGGCCACTCTAAGGCTGGCGTGGAAGAGCTACCTTCAGAGCTGAAACCTGAATGACAAGAAAGAACCAGTGATGTGAAGGTCTGATATGAGGGCTCCAGGGAGAGGGTAAAAAAGGCAAATGTGAAGGCTCTCAGGTGGTGGGGTCGGGGGTGGGGCAGAAGCATGGGCAGGAAAAGTGGGGAGAAATGATGTGAAGCTGGAGACATAGGCGGGACCAGAGTGTCTAGAGCATACTGAACCATGGTAAGGAATTTGGGTTTTATTCCATCAGATTTTAAGCCGGTACAAAGAAGGGGGAAGACAGATTTGGAGAGTTTGGGAAGACCAGATCATGTAGAGTTTTCTAGACCATGAAAAGGAATTCAGATTTTATTTTATTTTTTTTAGGTTTGAAGCAGGGGAGACAATATGATTTATGCTTTTTATTTTTCATTAAAAATTTAAAAAATTTGGGCTTCCCTGGTGGCGCAGTGGTTGAGAGTCCGCCTGCTGATGCAGGGAACACGGGTTCGTGCCCCAGTCCGGGAAGATCCCACATGCCGCAGAGCGGCTGGGCCCGTGAGCCATGGTTGCTGGGCCTGCGCGTCCGGAGCCTGTGCTCTGCAACGGGAGAGGCCACAACAGTGAGAGGCCCGCGTACCGGAAAAAAAAAAAAAAAAAAAAAAATTTTAAAAATTTAATAGTGGCAAAATCCGTATAACATAAAATTGACCATCTTAGCCATTTTTCAGTGTACATTTCAGTAGTAAATATCTTCACGCTCTTGTATAACTAATCTCCAAAACTCTTCATCCTGAAAAACTGAAACTCTACACCCATTCAAACTGATTTATGCTTTTCAAGGATCATTCTGGC